AACATTCTCTCTCTTTAAGCCTCCCACCGCCACCTATGCCTCTCTCGCTTCTCCTGCCTCCGCGCGGCCAAACCTCTCCCCTCTCCCCCTGTCTTTCAGCTCCCTCTCTCTCTGGCGCTTGCAGCTTGCTCAGTACCCATGTTGCCTTCTTCCCTCATAGTTAGCTACTTTGTCCTCGAAGGTCACGCCTGACAAAGATCAAGTCACAGAAGACAGGATATATATATATCAATGAGCATAATCAAATATATATATAGGCTGCGTCACAGACAGACGTATACACGCTTAGCTGGTACCGCGCGTACTTAGTTGGTGCTAAGTTCTGGTAAAATGGCGTTCACAACGAGGATATACACGAGATTCGAGCTTCAGCTAGCGGCAGGAATAATATAGACTGGTACCCGGTCACAAGTTTCCACACGCTCCACTAAGCGTCGTGCAGCCGACGGTAGCAGTCCTAGGTGACCACGCGCTACTGTTTCGCAATTCGAATGACAATGTAAGACAATGCAACGATCAGACAATAGCGCGCCAGCGTGGTGCAGAATATACACGGCTTATTTGGCGGGTCGGAATATGGATTCGCGTGGCTAGCAAGCCGCGTCATAATTCGCGCTACAGCAAGCCTGTAAATAAAAGCCGGCGTATATTTTAGGCGTGTGTAACGGCACTGTATATGTATATATATATTATATATATATATATATATATATACATACATATAATATTCTGGCTTAAAAATTATTTATTATATATATTATTGTTATGGTTGTCATTGTATGCCTGAATGAACGAGACATGTACTCTCGCTAAAAGACTTGCTAATTAAAATTTGACACAACTTATTATCTTACTTATGGCTCACAAGTCCGCAGAATACGAGCTAGCTACCGACTATTTAGTACTAGCTGATAATAATAACAGCGTATTAAACAAGCAATTAATAATAACATACAACGAACACAACAACAACAAACAACAACAACAACAACAACAACAACAACCACAACAACAACAGGCAATAATCTGGTACATGCATAATTGTTCAGTAGAAACACCCTCTCACATCACCAACCACTAGCTGCTGTGCAGCCACATGCTAACCGGAAGCTTCTCTACTTGCGGCGGCTGCCCGAAGGTGGCGGCCAAACCCGAAACCCAGGCGCAGATGAAAGGTCGCGAAAACGACCGCGGTACATGCGGCGGTGGCAGAGGGCGCTCTGGTCTGCTGTGGGGTGCCAATTCCTGCGGAGATAAGACGACGGCGGGGACCCCCCCCCTCAGAGTCAGAGGCATTGGTCAGGTCAGTAGTGAAAGTTAGGACTAGAGAATGTTGAAGAGAAGCTTGAAATTTGTTAACGCTGGCGTTTCACACACGGATTTTATTGAATGATATTATGATGGTTTAATTTTTTATAATATCATTGATTGCATTTATTTGAAACTTCATGATATTAACGTCAGGTCGTAGATTTCGACTACGATTGATGGTATAATTGACCTGCAGCATGCACATAACGATTGTTGGGCTTTCAAAACTAAATAAACTTCGTTTGTAATGCTGCACTTACTGACATGTGTTTATATGACATGAATTATTATTTCTGTCCACTTTTTTAGACGCTTCGTGTTTTAGATAGACAGCGAAGGTCGAGCCAGACCAAAGAAAAGTCAGGGTATATATAGAAAAATAAAAGTCATAGGATACAAATATAGAAAAAAATACAAATAAGAAGCCACCTAAAACAATGCGAGGAGTAGATGAGCAATATTATTTCGCGTCTACAAATTCCGAAATTTTCCTTTTACAAGCCGTTAAAACGAAACTTCATTCTACTGGCTAATCAAGCAGCAGACAGCAAGAACGTCATAGAACAACACAGGGCAGGCTGACTTCTTCCGGCTGCGGAAACAATAGATTATTTTCACTTTACCGTCGAAATTTAGAACGTTTTCTGCTGGAACGTGACGGTACACGGCAAGCCTGTTTGTCACGGAGTTCGAAAAGGGTTTGGGGCAGAAGAAAATTTCAGCTGAAACTTACATACCAATTACTGCCACACAATATCACGTCAGCAGAGCATTTGCACCCTCTGTTTGTTTTAGAATAATGCGCAATCGGCACGTTAATCCATGGGCACAAAAAATTTATCAGTTATTTAAATAAGCAATTAACCTTGTTAATATTATAGAGTCTATCACCAACCGAATGAACTTATTTAATGAAGTTATTTAATAATAAATAAAAATAGAATAAGTTTAATTTAACTGAATTTACGGCCACACGCACAAACAGTTTGCCTGCGCGCACATTCCATATAAGGATGGCATTGTTCATGAGAACTGAAAGTGATTTTTGAGAGGTAATAAATTGCCGTTTAATTTTTTGAGACTTTATACGTTTTGACGTGTCCAAGTCATTTGAAAATGATACGTAACATCAGAAATATTTTTTGAAGATGCAAATTTTCATTTACGCTTAGTCTGTGTGAATCATTCTACAACTAATTTTTTGGTAACTAAATGTAAAAGCTCAATGATAGCTAACACAAGTGTATATTTCAAATAAGATCGACTAACCACCTGTATTGAACAGGCCACCTGCGTATAAACGCCCACTCATCGCCACTCATCGGCACTTTCATTCAGTTGTCATCGAATAGCAGTTGAAATCAACTCCGTAAAATGCATGCACGCTATCTATACAAGCACTACTTTTTGGCATACTTGCGCTTCGAGCAAGCATAATGCTAGCCGGCACACTATACGATTTTGCGCGGGCCGCAGTCGTAAGCCCTCGCCACACTATAACGACCTCGCTCCGCGATCGAGTCGGAGGCACGCACCGCACACTGTACGACTCAATAAGTCGGCGCTAACCATGGCGGGACTCTCGTGGCGTTCCAAGGCGGATTTAGCGTGTACTAAGGTCGGGGAGTGTTTCCCCCTGGCCATTTTTCACGCAAATGCGCAGTTCCCATGGCGCTGCTTGTGATTGTCATTTTCTTACAGGCGGCTCGGCGGCGGCGTGATGGCAGCAACGGAAATATCCGATCGCGTCGTATGCCCTCGCATCACTATACGACCATGCTCTGCTCCGATTCAAAATTGGAATCGCGCAAAATGACCTCTCCGAGCCAATACTTAAGCCCTCCCGATCCAGACGTAAGCATCCCGATCACGCTCGGGTCGTATAGTGTGCGGCTAGCATAACACGAAGATTCGAACAAACTAGAGATTCGTACAGCGATTCGAAAAACCTCTGCAGACCTCCCCTAAAAAAACAATTTAAAAAAAACTTCGAAAAAAGCTTCGGCGAGTTCTCACCAGGTAGAGGCACCGCTCCGGGGCCGGGGCCCTGGTTGAAGCTGCCCTTCCTCGCGAGGCCGGTTGCCGCGGGCAGACATCTCCGGAGGCAGCGTCGGAGGAAGCGGGTTTCCCTGCTTGGCCATCTCGCAGAGGTGAAGCGCGATGGTGAACTCCTCCTGTGTGAGTCTGCCGTCTTTGTCGAGGTCAGAGAGATTCCTGTAGAGAGAGGAGGGGGAGAGGGAGAGGAGATCAGGTGTGAGGAGGGGAGGTCCATCTCTGCCTGCGCGCATTTGTCGTGTGCGCTCTCGGTCTCTCTCTCTCGCTCGCGTCTCTATGCTCTGCTCTCCTCTCCTCTCTTCTCTCGCTACTGCCTCAACTCTCTTCTCTCTCTCTCTCTCGCTCTCTCTCGTCTCTCTCTCGATCTCTCATCTGTCTCTCGCTCTGCATCATCCGCTCTCTCTCTTCTCTCTCCTGCTCTCTGCTGCTCTCCCTCTCTCTCTCCCTCCGCCGTCCTCTCCACCATTCCTCGCTCCCCCCTCTCTGCTCTCTCTGCCTCTCTGCTTCTCTCTCCGCCATCCCTCACGCTCTCCCTTCCCCCTGGCCTCCACGCGGCTCCTCCCCTGCCCCTCATCTCTCTCCGACTCCCCCGCCTCCCCCCTCCCTCCCCTCCCTCCCCCTTGCCCTTCTCTCACTCTCACCTCCACCTGCTCGACCCTTCCGCCTCCCCCTGCCCCTCTTTCCTCTCCCTCCCCCTGCCCCTCTCTCACTCAACGCCTCCCTCCGCGCTGCGGCCCTGCTCCCTCCCCTGCTCCCCCCTCTCTCCCTCCTCGACCGCTTGCCCCTCTCTCACTCTCCCTCCCCCTCCTCTCACCCTCCCGGCCCCTGCCCTCTCTCACTCTCCTCCCTGCTGTCCCGCCCTCTCTCTCCTCCCCTCCCTTGCCCGCTGGCTCTGCAGCTCTCGCTCCCCTGCCTCCCGCTCTCTGCCCCATCCCTCACCTTGCCCCTCTGCCTCACATCTTCCTCCCCTGCCTCCCCCTCTCTCCCACCTCACCGTCCCCTTGGCCCCTCTCTCACTCTCCGCTGCCCCGGGTCCTCGTCCCTCCCTCCCCTGCCCCCTCCTTCTCCCATGGCTCCTCCGCCCGCTGCTCCCCCTCCTCTCACCCTCCCTCGCTTGCCCGTCTCTCACTGCCTCCTCCCTGCTGGCCTCCCCCATCGCCGCTCCACCTGCCCTCTCACAACCTCCTCCCCCTGCCATCCTCTTGGCCCCTCTCTCACGTCTCTCCCCCTGCCTCCGCCTTTTTCTCCCCTCCTTCGCCCCCTCTTTCCCTCCTCCCCCCTCCTCCCCCTGCCTCCCCCCTCCCCCTCTCCCTCCACTTCCCTCCCCCTGCCCCTCTCACTCGTCCCTCACCTGCACTCCCCTCCCTCCCCTTGCCCCTGCTCTCACTCCCCTCACACCTGCCTCCCGCCTCCCCTCCCTTGCCCCTCTCTCATCCCTCCCCTGCCTCCCCCTCCTCCCGCCTGCCTCCCCCTGCCTCTCCCCTCTCCTCCCCTCTCCCCCTCCCCTCCCCTGCCTCCCCCTCCTCTCACCTCTCCCTCCCCCTGCCCCCCTGGTGCCCGCTCTCTCCCTCCCGCCTGCGTGCGCCGAAAGAATCGGCCGGCGCACGAATCCCTAGCTGCCAAAGACCACTCGATAATTTTACCGGGAATACAATGAAACAGCTCAGCTGCATTGAGCTGCTGTTCTTTGCAAGTTCAATGAAAATATCTATAAAAGTGTCAACACCTTCTACTTCTACACTGTGTTGTATAAGTTTTATTATGAATTGTATTTTATTATGCGTCAGTGGCTTCATGTAACGAGCGGCAGCTGCAGCGGAATTTAGCAATTTTGCAAACTGCAATTTGGCAAACAATTTAGCGTTGGCGCCAGATTACCAGATTTCGCACCTCTTTCTTGTGGGTTTTAAGCAAACACGCAGTGAAATGGGAGGAACTAGAGTTTATTTTGCCATAAGATAGTGTGATTATGCATGACATGAAGTATTTGCTATAGTCTAGTACTGGAGAAATTAGCGTTTGGATGCGCATAGTGCGGCTTTAATGTCATCTAGCAAGAGAAAACGCTATAAGTATGGGGGATTTGGCTCTTATAAACAAATTAATGGTAATTAATATTCCACACACATATATTTACCTTAGAATAATAACCAGAACTTTCATAAAAGACAAATTCTGTGATAAGCTCCTGTATAATTCTCTCGCTGTCCGTGGTATCTTGATCCTTGGTGATGGTGTTGAAGTACTGCGTGATGTGGTAGAGGGCTTGATTAGTCGCATCCGGAAAGTGAAGTCGCAACAGTCGCTGACGTAGGTCTCCCATTATTAGAGATAAATTTCCCACCACTTTGATTACACTGCTACAACTGCATAGTAAAACAACAAACCATTAAAACGTTTTTTTAGGCTAAATATAATAATTAAATTGTAAAGCAACTTAAATTATTTACATTTCCACAGCCACTACAACTTTACTTCTCCACTTCTACAACTTTATAGGAATTAAGGGAATGCAAATTCTGAAAAGCAATTTCACATGTATAAAAAATTTAAAATCACGATAGCCATCAAATACTCAGGCGATCAACTTTTTGCTGGAAAATTGCCGAGCTGATAAATTTGTCAATTATTTAATTCGACCAAAAATCGGCAGTGTACATGAAAACGTCTCGTGCGCAACTGGTTAAAGGATTTAATGACAAAATTTTTGTTCAGAAATGCTCAATCCGAAGAAATATAGCGAAATATAGTCTGACCTCACAACGGATCGATATACCACTGATGACACCAACTTGGAAAACACTAAGATTTTATGCAGCTATAGCATAGAAAATTAGATATGAACACATCGTAACACCTTGGCATTTTATCGTGCAGCGAGAATAGCTGGCTCCAAGATTACAACAACTACCTACCTACCTAACTCAGGGATGAGATTGGATAATTTAATTTTCAGCTGAAATTTTAATTAGCAAACAGAGGAGCGAGCAATGCGAGGACCGTAATTTTTTTAAAAGAATGGTGCAATTTGGTGCATTCTAAGCTATTCTGAACAAATTATAGGAGACTCTTGAATCACCTTTTCAAGTTGTCAAAAGGTACAAACGAACTATAATAGGAAATCAGAGGGCTGAAAATAGAGCAAGTTTTTTTATTAAATGTCTAGACATAATGATATTTTTCTGTTTCCACCCGTCGCTTGCATTGTTTTACTCAGACATAAGCTGCCTTGCTGCGACCAGATTTGAATGAAAAAAACACAATGCGAATGGAACAATCAATGCATAGTCATGCACACAACATGCACGCAGCAACATGTAAACCCGGCCCCCAGGCCAGGCATGGTCGTTACGTGATCAGCTACCTCAAATGTCTGCCCTTCTACTGCAGCCTGTGAACGAGGATTTTCTTTTCTGGTACGCAAAAACAGATACACTGTATACTTCGCTGTCAGCCTACTGGTCTACACTCTACAGTCTACAGTCAGGTGCTGTTGAGGGTATATAATTTAAATTGTTACATTGTTACCCCCCTCCCAATTTTCTCAACGAATTTAGACGTTTCACAAAATCGACCCCTGGGACTGTCAAATCTGCGGATTTCCGCGGATCCGCGGAAGAATCTCATCCCTGCTAACTACTTACGGAACCACGGCAAAAAGCGTTTTTCGAGTTGTTTCTTCGATGAGCAAATATAGGCTTGATACATATTTTTACAGTTTTACTTTCAAAGCTAACGTTCAGTTAAAGTCTAGTGCGTTATTTACTTACGTTTTTAGTGGTTGTTACAAAAATTTAGGTGGAAAGTTCGAGGAAAGTCTGCTACGCTGGCTAAGCATGCATGCCGCATGCAGGTGGTACACTGAACGCCGCACAGGCATCCAGCCTGCCGCTGCCGGGCGGCTGGCAGCCGCTCGACAAGCGATCGATACAGTTTTTGCGTAAAGGTCACGAACTTTACCTACAGCGCGTGCACATGCTATGCCTGGCAGTCTGACGTCATGCTTTGAATTTACGCCAGTGGCCGTTAGACTTTTGTGGCGCCACGTGTTACATCAGTTGCCGTTCAAAGTATAGTCAATCTCTTTAAATATCCTCTGCGTTACTTTTACATTTACACTGTTTCTGCACAGAGTAGCGCTTAAACCCCCATATCGTAACTTTCGTGAATGTGGGGGCACACTCTTAAAAATTAACAGAGGTCTTCTTGATGGTGTTGTCTAATAATATATAATTTCTAGCAAGAAATATGTCATTTGTTGTCAGAAAGGCGGGACAAAACGTCGTTTAACCAAGGGTACTTACTAGCGGAGGGTGCAAATCCACTTTAGGCACCTTATATCACGAAGTGATGCACAGATTTCTGTGTACAACCCACTGATGCACAGACTTTCCTTATATCAAGGATTGATGCACAAATGTTTAACTGCCCACATAGCCATGCTAAAAAGCGCCACCTATCGGACAAAAATACTACTATTATACCATTAAAAATTATGTTGTGTATTTTTATTTAAGTGTGCGGCTAGCATTATGCTTGCTCGAAGGGAAGATGCAAAAAGTAGTGCTTGTATAGATAGGTGCATGTTTTACGGAGTTGATTTCACTGTATGATGACAACTGAATGAAAGTGCCGATAGTGGCGATAGTGGCGTTTATACGCAGGT